ATTTTGTTAACTGGGAATTTGTGTATCAAAATATATTCAGAAAGAGCATTATTCAACCTTTCATTGAACAATGAGGAAACATGTTTTACATTCTGCACTAAGCTATACTTAAAAAAAAATTCAGTAATATTATTAGTGCTTTGCTTACCAATATCATTTATGGTAGGATTGGGGTCCTTTGAGTTTTGATTATTAGATGCAATGCATATTTACAACCACTGATGCAGACACCAATTAAATCAATTCAAACCTGCATTGTCCAATAAACAATAATCATACTACCAACCGGGTAAAAAATCAGACAGGAAAAAAGGTAAAAAATTTCCAACCGAGTGATGATCGCATCAACATACATATACATACATACATATATCTATATATATACTCTATATAATAGACAGCTGTTACACACAAATTGACCGTACTTCTACACACTCACACAGTTACTAATATCACATCTATTTTGATCTGTAACCCTACACACTCACACAGTCACTATTTTGATATATTTTGATCTGTAAACCCTCTCTCTCCTCCCATCTATTTTGATCTGTAACCCCTCTTTCTCCTCCCATCTATTTTGATATGTAACCTCCTCTCACACCACCACCATGGCGCCAAAGCTTTCTTTAATGGAGAAAACTCTTCCGGCGCTCTGGTGTTTGGTTTTCATAATTTCCATCTTTCTTCTCTTGCTACCGGTTGCTCTTTCTTATGGTTCTGAACGCCTAAAACTCGTACTGGCCAAACCATGTGTCTATCCACCTATCGCAGAGTGTGGGACTTCAATATGGAGCTCTGTTTCTGTGGTTGTTTCTCTATATTCTATTCTTTACGTTCCACAGAGATTTGAGAAAGATATTGTTACGGTGCTATCGTTCCGGTCCTATTCCCAGTTTACTTGCAACATTCTCCACCGAAGCATATTGGTTCTTATTTGCTATTGTCACAATTGCTCAGATGATCATCGTTCTCAAGGTTTTCCTTCCAGACGACTCTCTTGGCGTTACAAACGCAGTAATCATGCCATTCTTCATACTTGGTTTGTACAAATCCATTTTCACTATTTCTTTTTCTTGCAAAGTTTGCTACTACGTTCTTCTTTAATTTTTATTTTTTATTTTTTATTTTTTATTTTTTGTTCCAAAGGTATTCAGAACCATATCAAGTATGAGAGCAATATTAGGCCCACTTTGTCTTTCTCCATCGCTGCGTTGGCTTTTCTTTCCAAGGTTGGTTACTAATAATTTTTAATTCTATTTTTTGTTTGATTGCATTTTTTACCTAGTTCACGCTCTTTGTATTTCAAATTGTTGCAGGTAAGCCCGAGGGTTGATCGTGTTCATTTCACCCGCGCAGTGCTACAGTTTTCTGAAACTGCCACATTTGACGAAGAACTCATGGAGGGGGATGAGCTGTTTGATTCTTGGTTGAGATTCCTTTCATAAATTAGATTCAGTTTATATATATATATAACTATATTATACGATTGATATATATATTGTAGGAGGGCACTCAATACGAAGAAGGAGAACATACACAACTTTATAAAACTCTCAAATATTGATATATTTTTTTCTCACTTCTTACTTACAAAAAAACTTAACAACATGTATTTATAGGCACCACCAATACATAACTCTAGAAAGACACAAATTACAAGACAATAAATAAAGCACTAAGTTTAACACAATTGTTTCATCTCCCAATGAGATAGTGCATGTATTCCACACATGAGTTGGTTCATGTATTCAACATTTGAGTTAGTTCATGTATTTGGTTTATTTTCCAACAATGCCTCCCGTAAACCAAATTTGTTTTTCATTCCCAACTTTGCAAGATTCTTCTTAAATAAAATTCCACCAAGAGGCTTTGTGAATAAATCTGCCATTTGTTCATTCGTCTTGCAATATTCAACTTGAATAATTCCTTCATTGATAAGCTCCCTTAAGAAATGATAACGGATGTGAATATGCTTCGTCCTTCCATGTAGAACCGGGTCTTTTGTAACAGAGATAGTTGAACTATTGTCACAAAATAATGTTGTTGACCCTTCTTGCTTGTGCTTGAAATTTTCCAAAATACCTTGCAACCAAATGATTTGACAATCGGTAAGTGAGGCAGCAATATACTCCGCTTCCGTTGTAGAAAGAGACACAATAGCCTGCTTCTTTGAACTCCAATAAATTGCACCACTTCAAAGATTAAAAACATAACCGGATGTGCTCTTACTATCATCAATACTTTCCGCTAAGTCACTATCCGTGTAGCCAACAAGTTTAACCGAAACATTTGCTTGATAAAAAATACCATAATCAATGGTTCCTTTCACATACCTCAAAATTCTTTTTGCAGCCTCCCAATGACTTGAATGTGGTTTATCCATGAATCGGCTAACCAAACTTACCGCAAACATTATATCCGGCCTTGTAGCGGTTAAGTACATCAAATTTCCAACCAGACGTCGAAACATGGTAGAATTAACAAGCTTTCCTTCACCATTTTTGCTTAATTTTATTCCGGTGATGCATTGTGTTGAAACGGGATTGGCTTGCTCCATCTTGAATTTTTCCAGAATATTTCTAGCATAACTTTTTTGAGAAATAAAAATTCCCTCTTTAGATTGATGAACTTCAATGCCCAAAAAATGATGTAACTCACCCAAGTATGTCATTTCAAATTCTTTCATCATTGAGACATTAAAATTATTCAACAACTTCAGATTATTGCCGGTAAAAATCAAGTTATCAACATAAAGACTCACAATCATGAAGCCTCCTTCCAAATCATTTTTGATGTAGAGTGTGTGTTCATAAGGACACTTTTGAAAACCATTTCTCTCAAAATATGAATTAATGTGGCTATACCAAGCTCGTGGGGATTGCTTTAAGCCATATAAAGATTTGTTAAGCTTATACACCTTGTGTTCTTCCCCATTTTTCACAAACCCAAGAGGTTGTTCAACATAAATTTCTTCTTCAAAGATCCCATTCAAAAAAGCGGATTTAATATCCATTTGGAACAACTTCCAATCATTTTGGGCAGTAAGAGAAATTATCAAACGAATGGTATCAAGTCGAGAGACTGGAGCAAATACCTCATTATAATCCTCCCTTTCTTTTTGTTTGTAACCTTTTGCAACAAGCAGTGCTTTGTACTTGTTGATAGAGCCATTAGGATTCACCTTTGTCTTGAAAACCCATTTCACACCAATGGAATTTTTGTTTGGTGGTAGATTAGCCAACTCCCATGTACCATTTTTTTCAATGGCATTAATTTCTTCATTCATTACTTTCTTCCACTTTTCTTCTTTACATGCTTCTTCATAAGAGATTGGATCTTCCCCTGCAAAGAAAGCAAAAAAGACAGGGTTGTCTTGATTCACTTCATTGGTAGATTCAAAAAGTTCTTGCAAGCTTCTTGTCTTCCTCCCATGAGAATTTGTAGGAGGGCCTTGAGAGGATCCTTCACTTGATGAGGGACATGTTGAAGACAAATCACCATTAATTTTCACACCTTGAAAATCATCAAAAATTGTTGCATTCGAAGAACCACCTGTTTTTAAATCAAGAAAAGAAGCATTTTCATTAAATTTTACATCTCTGCTAATCACAATTTTCTTTGTTTCCGGATTGTATAGCTTATAGGCTTTGGACCTTTCACTATACCCAATAAAAATGCATTTTTCGGCCTTATTATCAAGCTTATTTCTCATCACATCCGGAATATGTGCATAAGCAACACTTCCAAAAATCTTCAAGTGTTGAACACTAGGCTTTCTTCCATACCATGTTTCATGAGGTGTACGATTCTTCAAAATTTTTGTGGGAGATCTATTGATCAAATAAACAGCACAAGAGACTACTTCAGCCCAAAATTCTGATGGCAATTTTTTCTTTTTAAGCATGCATCTTGCGATTTCCATGACCGTTCTATTTTTCATTTCACTCACACCATTTTGTTGTGGTGTGCGTCTAACTATTAACTCATGCCGTATGCCAATATCTCTACACAATCTCTCAAATTCATTGGAAAGATATTCACGCCCTTGATCACTTCTTAATGTTTTAATTGGAAAACTAGAAAAAAAATTCAACTTGGGCCTTGAAATCTTTGAAAGCTTGAAATGATTAAAATTTTTCTTTGAGAAGATATACCCAATTTTTTCTAGTGAAGTCATCAATAAATAGGAGAAAATATCTATTACCTCCAAGAGATGGAATCGGCAATGGACCACACAAATCCGTATGAACAAGCTCCAATGGATGCTTAGCTAGCCACAAGGATTGTGAAGGAAATGGATCTCTATGTTGTTTTCCAAGCATGCATTCTTCACAAATTCCATCTATACTTTCAATTTAAGGCAGCCCTTCCACCAATTTTTTTGATGCCAACAATTTCAAACTTCCAAATTTTAAGTGTCCAAACCTGTCATGCCACAACTTGGAGTCTCCTTTGTCAACACTAGTGAAACAAGAAATATTAGCAATTTAGAGCTTGAGAGGAAAAAGATTGTTAGCCGCCATCCCAATTTTAGCAACAAGCTGATTGTTTTTTGTCATGATGCATGCATTATCATGAAAATGAATATCATATCCTTTCCGCAAAAGATGACCGATGCTAAGTAAATTACCTTTCAAGCCGAGCACATAATAAACTTCCAACATTTTCTCAATTTTGCCGGAATTTGTTTTGAATGAAACTTCTCCAATGCCTTGAATTTTGTAAGCTCTGGCATCTCCAATAGTTACTTGGCCATGATCCACTTCAACCAAATTTGAAAACAGATTTTTATTGCCGGTCATGTGCTTGCTAGCACCACTATCCAAGTACCATACATCATCAGTATTATCACTATGACATGCAATCAACAAAGTTTCATGAGAGCCATTTTCATGGAAATCAGACTTGTTTTCATGCATAAAACCAGTCTCATTTTTTCAGCTTGTTTGTACCAACATTCACTAATTTTGTGACCAAGTTTATGGCAATGAAAACATTCAACATAGCCTTTTCTTCTTTGGTAAAAACCACGGCCTCTTCCTCTTTGTGAAAAATTTGTGTGTTAGATTTTTCTCATCTTCTTTTGAAAAATTTTCATTTTTTGAAAGAGCTCTTCCTCTTCCACGGAAATTAGAACCTCTTCCTTGAAAATTTCCACTCCTTCCACGACCCCGACCATGGTTGTAACCACGGCCTCCCATAATTGAAACTTGAGATTTAAGAGCTTGGTCAAGAGGAGGAGGAGGAGGATTTCTTTGATTGATCCGAATTTCATGAGCCTTCAAAGTTCCCAATAAATTATCTAGAGAAAGAGAAGAGAGATCTCTAGATTCTTCAATGGCAACTACAACATAATCAAATTTTTTAGGCAAGCTGCGAAGAATTTTTTCAACCACTCTTTCATTTTCTAAAATTTCTCCATTAGAAGCCATTTGATTTATTATGGATGTAACATTTGTAAAATACTCGGAAATAGATGAATTCTCCTTCATTTCTAACTTCTCAAATTCCGATCTTAAGGTTTGAAGACGTACCTTTTTCACTTTTTCCTCACCTTTGTATGCCGCTTGTATAATCTCCCAAGCTTGCTTGGATTTGGTGGCTTTTGCAATTCTTTCGTAGATCGGCATTTCAATTGTTTGGTAGATTGTGAAAAATGCCTTGCTATCCTTTTCTCGCTTCTCATTCAAAACATTCTTTTGTGCTTGAGTTAAATCATCTTCATTCTCGGGTTCATCAAAACCCTCTTCAACAACATTCCATAACTTCATTGAATTGAGCAGCACCTTTACATTGTTGCTCCAATAATCATAATTGTCTCCGTTGAAGCGAGAAATAAGGGAAGCCCAATTGCTTGTATTTGCCATGAGATAATTCTGAAATTTTTTTGCTACCTTCTTCTTTAAAATTGGCTCTTATACCAATTCGTAGGAGGGCACTCAATATGAAAAAGGAGAACATACACAACTTTATAAAACTCTCAAATATTGATATATATATTTCTTTCTTACTTCTTGCTTACAAAAGAACTTAAGAACATGTATTTATAGGTACCAATACATGACTCTAGAAAGACACAAATTACAAGACAATAAATAAAGCACTAAGTTTAACACAATTGTTTCATCTCCCAATGAGATAGTGCATGTATTCCACACATGAGTTGGTTCATGTATTCAACATTTGAGTTAGTTCATGTATTTGGTTTATTTTTTCAACATATATATATATATATATATATAGTAGATTAGGAGGGCTGAAAACTGCAACACGGAGTGTTACAGAGCTGTTGAGTTACCAGCACTTTTCCTATGTTTTCCTTTTATATTTTAAAATGGATATGGTTTAATACTTGATAGAATTTTATGGAAACACAGTTTATGGAGCTTTGGTTGTAAATACTAAATAGAGAACTTATATGGTTTGATGAATTTTATGCATGGCTTAGTTTTGTTTGTATTCAATTGTTTGTTGATCTAGGTAAAATGATTTTGATCTGGGATTTGAATTCTATATTTATTGGGCTCTTTGTTGTGGTTTAATGGTGTATGTTTGGTGGCACAAAATTGGTGCCTTGGATTTAGGATTGAAAAATATTTTAGGTTGTGTTGGGTACATAAAGGATTGAAAAATATTTTAGGTTGTGTTGGGTACATAAAATGGGAGTCTTAAAATTGGATTAATTGGTGAAAATTTTGGTTGGAGTTGATTTTCTCGAATTCCAATTTTAAGGCTCTAATTTCATTAATGGAGCAAGTGTTAGTATAAATTTTAAACTAAACTTTAATAATCCCTATTTCAAGGTGCCAATTAGGACATTTTGAAGTAGAGGCCTTGGATTTATAGCTTTGGTCTTATTAGCTTCTCTTAGCCCCAGCCCTACACCATAGTTAATTTTATATAAAAATGTTACATTTCCACTATGCATCTTCAAAAACCAAAACACTGACCAATCAACACCACTTTCCTGATCAATTTATTCTCTATGACCAGCATTTCAGTACCTTAATTTCTGTAATAACCAAATCAATTGCTTCATGCTTAAACTATTTGCAATTAAATTTCAAAATTTTAAGTACCTAACAACACCCAATTAGCTTTATATTTGGATTTAGTGTAGTGTAGTTCTGATTTTCTTATGCTCAATGATTCAGTAAAAAGTAGTAGAAATTAATACTAGGATCACAATATCCTATTTCCTTTGATCAGACTCAGTTGAAAGTTTTCTTTAATTGTATCAGTAAAAATTAATCAAGGAAATTAGTCTCTCTTTAAATTTCATTAATAACCAAATCAAACCTTCCCTGCTTTATTCAAAAAATAATAATAATAATAAGAAAAACCTTCCCTGCTTTTACTTTTTGCAGTTAAATTCCCTTGTTTTAGGGAATGCTATTATAAATATTTTTTTTTCAAAATATTTTTTTTCCTTGTTATGCTTAAGCGCAGTGATTAATTTTGCTTTTTCTCTACACTTATAAGGAAAATTATAAAATGTCAATATATAAACCAAACTAACTCCGGCGGCGCTTCATACAAACAAGACCCAATAGAAGCTACAACCTCCGGTTCATTGATCTTCAAACACTCAGCCCCGTGTGGGCAAAAACATTATTATTTATTTATTATTATTATTTATTTATTTATTTTATGAAGTGTACTTTAAATATTTCAATTGTTAAATTGTCCTTATCTGGTGAACATTCTTTCCACCCCATTCCTTCTAACAAGGGCAGAGAGATGTCTTTTGAACAGGTGACCATTTTTGTGCTATTTAATACTACACTGATAGATGCATAGAGTTTTTAGATAGTAGAATGTAGGACAGTAAATTAATACGTCCTTATAATATAATTAAAACATCTAGCTAAATAATTGGAGTAGAGCAGGTTATCAATTTATTCTGTGTTTTCCGATACATCTCAGACACTCAATTAACACACCCTAACACTCTTTGTCCTATATAAAACAAACACAAAACGACATTATAAACATACATGAAAGTGTTCAAGATCTAAGGAACACAAACATAACCATAATGAGGATAAACTGGATAGTAATATCATATATTACTATAATATCAGATTCTATTTGCTCACATAAGATTTTCCGTGAGACTATTACTTATAGGAGAATGAAAACAATTCAAAAACAAAGAAGCTAAGTTCCAACATCAAGGCATGTGTGTTATTGACATTCCACGGAATACGTGCCAACTAAATACAATATCACCTCACTCACCAACCTGGATCCAGGCATAGCACTCAAAAACAATATTAAAGAATGTACAAGCACCTCCGTATCCATAAAACATGAATCATATGCCGCACATTTGCAATCAAAAGAACTTCCAGTGACTTTTACGGTTTTACCTGAAACAATTTCTGTCATTTGAAGTTCCCAATTTGTCTTCAAGTTCGTAGAGGAGCTTCCTATAAGTATGTCCATCCACAAAGTCATCTTGCAACTCCTTCAACAAGCTCCTGGCATCTTCAACCCTGCGTCTCCGACAGATTTCATCAAGGACTGTCTGTATGTAATGAAATCGGCAGACTGGTGCTTTTCAGACATCTCCCACAGAAAACTGACTGCCTCATCAATCTCTCCACCAAGAGCAAAAGCACTCGATCACAAGGGAGTTGTATGTTTTACATTTCATCACACAATTCTCTAGCATTGTTTGTTCGGCCTTGAACACATAATCGATGGATCAAATAATCATAGGAAAATGAATTAGGCTGACAGTTATAGACGACATCCATCTGATGGAATATTCTGAGGGCATCATTGACAGGACATACCCTTTTATCATAGAATTCAATGAAAAAATATCTGAGTCGATCCCATCATTCACCATTTGCTTGAAGAGACATCTAATAGTCTCCATATACATGTAGTCTACATAGGAATTGCTTCCCCTAGTTAGAAGGGCAGCAAATAGAATATTACGTGTCCTAATTGAAGGCCTACCGTCCAATTTCTTGCTATTCCTCACGTGTTTATAAATATTGACTGCTCTTGTCAGTTTTCGAGCTTATGTAAAGAAGTAGATCATGGTGTTGAATAGAGCCTCTGAACCAATAAAAGGAACAGCAAGTACTTGGTTAACAACACCATCCATTTCCTCATACAATTTTGCAGCCCCAAGGTTTTTTATAGTGATGTGATACGTGGAGACATCATGCTTGAACCTGGGCTGTTGTGACGCCCAATTAAATAGCTCCAAACACACTAGAGGATCTTCTTCAAGAGTTATGACATTGCATAGTTCTTCGGGAGTAAATCTTGGTGGGAATTGGGATAGAGCGCGCTGAAATTGAGCTTCGTCGAGAGAAGGTTTGGCAGCAGCTTTTGATCTTCTCCGGAAAGTTCTTCCCAAGGATCTTGGTGGGGGTCTAATTGGGTTCCAAGAATAGAACGAAACAAGCATGTATCTGCATAGAAATGCATTTGAAAACGTTTTGGTGGCACTTGTGGCGATTCGGGTCCGAGTTAAAAGATGTATGGAATTCAATGTATTGCTTATGAGATGAGAATGACTAGAAAAATTTGAGAAAGCAGACAGAGAGGTGAAATGTGAACAATTAGTGACTGTTTTCGAGTAAGGAAGATAAATGTGAGATGGCTTTATACAGAAAAGTTGATTTATAGAGCTTCTATTGAACTGTGAAGGATCTCTAAGCACTAAAAGCATACTCATCAACCCCCAATTGAAATAAAATACATTGAAGTAATATCAAGTTAATCAAAAATAAAACAAACCAGCGATTCATAAGATTTTATGAATCTGAAGTTAGGAATCGATAAACTGAATTTCTGAAGCAGTTTATACACATTCATCAATATATATAGTATATACGTATATGTATATTCGATTAAAACCTAATTGGAAGAGAAGAAAGAGACTATCGAACTAAAACAGGACACTTCCAATCAAAAGTTCGCGTTCGAAGATCAAACCATTTTTTTTAAGCCGTTGTGGATTACAATAGAAAATAAACGAACGGCAATCTAAACAGTTGCTTTTGCAGTATCTAGGGCAGAAGGAAGAAAGGGAGTTTGTACCGTTAGGGGTTAAGCCCTGTAGATCTCTGAAAGAGAGTTTGTACCGCTAGTTGTTCTAGAGAGTTTGTACCAGTTGCTTTTGGCGGCAGCTTTTGATCTTCTCCGGAAAGTCCTTCCCAAGGATCTTGGTGGGGGTCTATTTGGGTTCCAAGAATAGAACGAAACAAGCATGTATCTGCATAGAAATGCATTTGAAAACGTTTTGGTGGCACTTGTGGCGATTCGGGGCCGAGTTAAAAGATGTATGGAATTCAATGTATTGCTTATGAGATCAGAATGACAAGAAAAATTTGAGAAAGCAGGCAGAGAGGTGAAATGTGAACAGTTACTGACTGTTTTCGAGTCAGGAAGATAAATGTGAGATGGCCTTATACAGAAAAGTTGATTTATAGAGCTTCTATTGAACTGCGAACGATCTCTACGCACTAACAGCATACTCATCAAACCCCAATTTCAATCAAATACATCCAAGGAATATCAAGTTAATCAAAAATAAAACAACCCATTTTACACCAGCGGATTCATAAGATTTTATGAATCTGAAGTAAGGAATCGATAAACTGAATTTCATCTGAAGTTAGGAATCGATAAACTGAATTTCTGAAGCAGTTTATACACATTCATCAATATATATAGTATACACGTATATGCATATTCGATTAAAACCTAATTGGAAGAGAAGAAAGAGACTATCGAACTAAAACAGGACACTTCCAATCAAAAGTTCGCGTTCGAATATCAAACTTTTTTTCTTTTAAGGCGTTGTGGATTCCAATAGAAAAGAAACGAACGACAATCTAAATAGTTGCTTTTGCAGTATCTAGGGCAGAAGGAAGAAAGAGAGTTTGTACCGTTAGGGGTTAAGCCCTGTAGATCTCTGAAGCCAAGACCCCCACCTTCGCTTTCTTTCTCTCTCTCTCTCTAGTTTCTCTCTCTAGAAAATCAAAAGAGAAGCTGAACGGGGAGAGAGGAAGGCAGATAAAGTGGAGCCAAGGAGACGACCGGCGAAAGAATTGTTTTCCTCTCCGACATCTCCAAAGTGGTACTGGGCCCAATAAGGCGTTGCACTAAGTGGTTTCTCTGGCTGTTAAGCCCAAACTTATTTCTAGGATGGGTCATGTAGTATCGGCCCAGCTAAGCCCAGACCTATTTATCATATGGGCCACAAATATATCTCTTTTTAAGATGGGCTAATGAAACTCTTCTTGTTATTTGGGTTGGTTATACGAAGAAAAATTTTAATCCACCCTATTCAAAATATTTGTATTGAAGTATGTCTAATGCGATTTTACTCAGCTAATCCAAACTTATTAGTTATTAATTTAATATTCCAATTCATTACTTAATTATAGATAAAATTAATATTTATTTAATTTAGTGTGTTTAATAATATAACAAGAATATAACTTACAAGAATAAATTTAAAATTTTGATTATTCGGTACTTTCAATAGTAAAATTAAAAAAATAATACTCAGCAATAAAATTAAATCGATGAGAGTGACAAGACGACGCGCCGACGGCCTCACATAGTTGTAGAGGATTTGTGGCGTAGCTGCATCTTTATGTTTCACATGACTGCACCGCCACTTCAATCACTGTACTACGTCTGTATAGAAATGATGAAATCAAAAAACTATTAGCTCAAATAAAACCATGTGGCTACATATAAAATATTGAAATAGACCCTCAACATCTGTCACGCAAATGACACATTGGGCAAAGAAACAAAGTGCGTGGGACCATGAACATGATGGAGAAAAAATGCTTTATTTGAAACTTAATAAAAAATTATTATTATTTCTAAATGAAGTTATTGAATATTATAATATTAATAAAGTTGTTGGGTGGGGAAATTATATATGTAACCTCTTGTAAGATTTGAGCAAATTACACATGAGAGATCGTTTAACGATTATTACTTTAACCTTCTTTAAGTTGTAACGCTCAAAGACACTTAGACCAAATTTTATAAAATGATAAATTTGTCATATCCTTGTATTAAAAGATGATAGGGTAAATTACATTAATCTGTCTTAAAATTTGAACAAATTACACACGAGTTACATGAACTTTCATATCAACAAATATTTGTAATATATAATATATTATAAAATAAAGACATTATTGACTTTTCATATTCAAAGTCACCCTCCAACCATCATCGACAAATTAGATTTAAGATATGTCAAAATAATAAACACTCAACAATTTATAAATACATAATTTATCCAAAATTTAAAAAAGGTCAGTGTAATTTATAATTTTTTTAATTAAGTAAATACGATGCACCCACCGACAAATGTCAGTGATTCAAAATCTTCACCTCCCTTTCCGGAAGAGTTAGATATAAAGTGAACATTTTAGAGTCTTTAAAAAAGTAAATATCCTCGTATTTGAATTCATATTGAGTTTAGAAGTACTACTTTGAATTTGAGATTGTTGAAGAAAATTTAGTCTAAATTTTAATTAAATATTTTTAATTTAAAATCTAAGCAGTCGAACTGGTCCTCCAAATATCTTATCAGTGCGGTAAGTTGGTCGATGAATAGTATGAACAATAATAGAGTATATTAGGTGACGTAAGGGCAGTGACATCAATAAATGTGGAATGGGTCTGATCCATCCAAGAGGGATGAAATCCCCACCACATATTTTACCTATAAATTCAATCAATTGTTTAATGGTTTTTTAAGAAGGGCTCATCAGAACACCACACCCCAATCATAAATATTCCACTTGCATTATATAAGGAAGAGTGCATATATTGCTATATCTATGGAAGAAGAAGAAGAAGAAGAAGAAGTAAACATTGGCAAGGTTGGCTACGCAGGAGGGATGACATCGGCGTTCACGTCAATCTCAGAGACCTGGCTGTTGATGTCGATGTCATTTCTCCCGCATAGGAAACCTTTACAAATGTCGTATGCCAGTTTCATTTCGTACAAAATAAATTATGAAACCCGAAAGTTATCTAAAAGGTTGGTTGTTTTGCTTCCCTTCAATGATACTTTGTTTTCTTTTTTATTATAATTTGTACAATTTTCTTGCAGGTGAGATCGGAAATAGAGTTGTTTGCACTCAAATTGGGCATTTGATTTGACCACACTCAAAACCCTCTTATTTTTCTTTATTTCAGTTTACGTTTCTGTCCCTTTAGTTTAAGTCCATTTCCTTTCCATGTTCTTAGTTTTAGCCTTTCACCTCTTAAGTTTGTCTGTATAATCAAATAGTTACAAGAAGCTTCTAAAAATGAAAGTGAGGAAGATTTTATCTTCAAGGTGGAAGACCAAACTTCAAAGGGAAGGGGAATAAATCTTAATTGTCTACTTTGAATTGAATAATCGGCTCCATTTAGTTAGATGGAAATAGCAAGAAAGGAAAAGAAATAAAAAAAAAAAAAGTGAAGTGAAAGAAAAAAAAAAAGTAATTTTCTAGTATGTATTTGGTTAGGATGAAAATTTATTCAATAAAATGGTAGGAAAATATCTTTGAATACTTAAATTACCCTTATTTTATAAAATAATAAAGAATTAGTAATAAAATATATTAAAAAATAATAAAATTTTCAATTAATTTGGACCTTTTGAATTACCATTACTCATATATGTTGAAAAACAACTAAGAATGAAAGTCAAGTTAATTAAAAATTTATCAATGATAAAATTGTTAGTGGACTCCAATTTTTTGAAACCTAGTAAAAAATTATTATTGTTTCCAAATATAAAATGAAGTTGTTGAATAAAATAATATTAATGAAGTTGTTGGGCAAAATAGAAATACTAAATAAAAAAACATGCTTTCACGAGAAAATTTTCCCGTGTTTTGTGAAGGAAACATTTTGAAAAAAATAAAGTGGTACAAGAATTCTAATTTTTTAAAATTTTTCCTTTTCTATCTAACTAAATTATCTCGAAAAAAATAAATAAATAAATAAATGGATTGTGTCCTCATAAAGGTAAGAGAATGTCAATATTGCTCTCCACACTTATTTATTTATTAGTTTTTTTTCACGAACCACAGTGGTCAATGATTAAAAGAAATAGGTTCGGCCTTGGAACCTCTCATTAATAAAATAAACGATTCACTTCAAAAATCATGACAGGTCCCTCACAAAAATCAAAAGGCAATATCAAGATAAAAGATAATTATAAAAAAAATCAAAAGGCAATATCAAGATAAAAGATAATTATAAAAAAAATCAAAAGGCAATATCAAGGTGAAAGATAATTATAAGACATTGATACGACTATTTAATTGAAAAAAATAATTCATAACAATATATTAATATATTTAAAAGAAAGATTAATTAAAACGACACTGCTTAAAGTTTGTCATATTAACATACGTATATAAGTTAGTCCTTTTTTTTAATAATAAAACTTCTTGAAATTTGATAAAGTTAAGAAAATACCCCCTAACACCATCTGTACCCCCCCAACACATAATAAAATGACTAATTTACCCTTTAACTTGTCAATTAAATCATTAAGATTTGAAATTACAAAGTTAACATTCTAACTAATTTTAATTAACCAAACTTGTCACATCACTACAACCGTATACATATATGTGTGTATATATATATTATCTCCTCTTTATATATATAGATATATATTAATGAGAGAAGCAGCGGGTGGTTGGCTGGTTGCCCCTCTACTGGCGGCACACCCCCATAGCTACCATCACCATACCACCATAGCCACCATCACCATACCACCACCTCCACCAATTCCTCTCTCTCTACCCTCTCATCTTCACAGCGTCGCCACAACCACAACCACCACATCACAGCCCCACCACCGCCACCTCACATCCCCGCCACCACCATTTCACAGCCCCGCCACCACTCCACAGCCCTGCCACACCCGCCGCCGCCACCTCATCACAACCCCGCCACCACCACATCGCAGCCCCGCCACCACTCCACAACCCTGCCACACCTGCCACCACCACTTTACAACCTCGCCACCACCACCACCACCATCCCCACTCCACAACCCCACCACACCCAACCCCACCACCACTTCGAAGACTCAAACTTTACGTTCACAGTACCACCACACCCACCACCATCATCGATTACGAATTTGCAGAAGCCCTAACCGAATTAAGGTTTTAGTTCCCCAAATGCAACACCAACCAGTCTGATCAATTCATCGGGATTCGATTGTGTACCAATTCAGGAGGATTGGTGAAGAGCTTGACGAAGATGGATTGGTTTGTGTATAGACAAGATTGCTTGGACTACGCAGAAGAAGATTGGTAAAAGCAAAAAAAATTTGGGTTTTTTTTGGAGCAAAGGGTAAAGAGAGAAACCTATTACTCCGTATTTTAAAAGGGTAATTATTTCGTATAATTTTTTTAATAATTTAGATTTATAATTGATATATTATTGAAGGACAATCTTGTCTTTTCACAAATTTTAAGGGCTTGTTTGGCTTAAATTTCTGACAGGGGGTGTAAGTGTTCAAAAAGTGGTCAACTTATATATATCTGTCAATACTGCAAACCTCAGGGTGTCATTATAATTAATCCTAAAAAGAAATACCTATTGAGTGTTATATGACCAATATCAAGTATTTTATTGCTTTTTAATATTTGTGTAAGTTTCCGAAGTGTACGGTCTGTTTGTTTCGACATAATTTTTTTTTTTTAATATATATATTTTTTATTTTTACTTTGTCGGTGTTTGACAAAGGTCTATATCAAGATTGAGGTCGAGTCCATCGGATGAGACATATAAAATAACTTGCCGAAAATTGATGGATAAATTATTTTTATTAAATTTTAATATTTTTTTTCTTCGTAAATATTTTATGACAACCAAACACCAAAAAATTAAAAAAAAAATATTTTTTAAAAAATATTTTACGTTCAATCAAACGGAACCTACATCCTTTCATTTGGCCATAGTGGGCCATATAAAATTATATAAATGCATACATACACACACACACATATATATATATAGTACTTAAAATACATGAGACTTTCTGATTTAGGAAAATTTCTTCTCCCGAAGAATGAAATTTTAATGCAAGGCTCATTTCATTTGCCAAAAAGAGTAGGCAACGACTTCAAAAGGGAACGCCACCTCAATTTCGTCAAACGTACGGAAAATAGTAGCTTTTTAAGCATAATCCTCCACTAAAATGGCAAGTCAAAAAATTAAACCTAGTGTGATTGAAGTTTATTTGAAAAACAATAAGGTTCTGTTTTGCTATAAGGTAATTAACTGGAATTGATAGCCTAGAGAACTAAAATTTTATCAAATTTCACCAATTTTAATTACTTGGCCTAACTATATTCAGTAACTTTAAACTACTTTTTCTTCCATACTAATTTTTCTTCAATTTCAGATTCCAAATAGCGGAACACGGCCTAACCATATTGAGTAGCTTTAAACTAATTTTTCTTCAATTTCAACTTCAAGGTACCAATTTCATGTGTCGCATAAACAGATTTAACCTGTAAAACCTTCATTATCCCAAGAAGTTAAATGGGCAATTGCTTTATCGACTTAATGTTCTCAGGAGAAGCTGATCATATAACGAGACAAAAATTCCCTTAGGGCTCATTTGGCGTGAATGAATGAAATAATGTGGCAATGAAATGAAACATAGAATAGAATGGAAATGAAAAGAGAACGAAATAAGGTGGGAATGAAATGAAACATAGAATAGAATGGAAATGAAAAGAGAACGTAATGACCATTTCCATTCTCACGTTTGAATGTAGAAAAAACTTCTTTTGCATTCCTTTTCTCTCTCTAAAAATGTTTATCAAATCTCACAAATTGCCGCTAAATTCATTATATTGGCAAAATGATTTATCTCTGAAACAGTAAAATGAGATGTATCATCAAATGGGTGTCTCATATACTCTATATTTCTCTACGAAACTGCCATCGAGTGGTGAGAGAGAACCATTGAGTAGTGTGAGAGAAAATCTGCGATTTCATACTTAACAGTGATGGATTAGAGTTGTGAGAGAGAAACAGTCACCATAGATCTCTATCAATGGCTGATTTCGAATACAATCATGGGATTAAAGTTTGTGAGGGAGAGAAAGTCGGGACGTGAGGAGGGTTTTTAATATTTTTTTTATCCTATATTTTCTTAAGTGGAAATGAAATGATCATTTCTTTGTTGAAAAGTGTAATGAATTAGTGAGAATCATCATGGTTAAGAATTATCATTTTAACTTTAAAATTACCTACCAAACTAAAGAATGAAAACAAAAGCATTTCTATTCCCTTTCATTTGATTCTATTCACCCACACTAACCATAGCCTTAATACCCATGATGTACTACTACTACTACATCCACTTCTCTCTTTACCGTACCGCTTCCTATTCAACATTCATAATCATTTAGCTGAGAAAAACCTATCTGAATGAAAATACCTTTCATGCCCCCACATACATTAGCTACAAGCTAGCAATAATTTATGGTGAAAAAAAAAAAAAAAAAACATTATTATGGGGATCAATTTGGCGGACACTTTCAAATGGATGACATGTGCAGCAGGTGGATTCTCGGTAAAAAACCACAAGAGATGAGTTAAAAACATACCTATCAAGTCAATGTTTCGCCTGCCCGAGAGCTCCAAACTCAAATAGACATACATCACAATTTAAAATATATATCAGATAGGGCTGCCTCATGTATTTAACTTTTCAATTCCATCATGCGTTTCAGGCACTAAATGGCCAGCTGGCTGGCTACCAAGATCCTTCGGCACCCACGGTCGGATTCTGAAAAGCAGAGAAGTTCCAGAAAGTCTTCAATGCATAGGGCTGATAGCTTGTTACACCCTCTTCCGTGATTCTAGATATCTGCAATATCCAAAAAATAATTATATTGGGAGATGTTTCAAAGCTGCCACATCTGACTGTTTTCTCCCTTAAGCAAATGCAATTTATTTTTCCCTAGTAAAAGGGCCTTATATTTTTTTCTCCACATATTGGTAACCATAGTCACTTTAATATGAGAAGAGAACTGAATATTTAAGTTGACACAAAGCCCTTAATATGGGAAATGTTCACGATAGACCTTAATCACAATAAGGAAACAAACGTCACATTCCAACACCTGGATGACAACTCTTCACTACTTGCAGAAGAGAGGTTCACAAACAATTGCTAGAGGGAAAACCACAAATATGGGTACGAAACATCTTTAAACACTCCCTCGTACATGAAAAACACATCACACATGCTGGTTCAAATTTGTAGGCGTCTAACTTCAATGTTACTAGGCCCAGGGAAATTATCTTCTAAAAAATATAGATTTTAAATTATAACTTCAATGTTATAATGTGTGATTTAAATTTCAGCATCCTCAAATATTCAGGAATGCAGTGATTTTTTTTTATTTTTAAAAAGAACAATTATAAATCTGCCCAAATAAACTGCTTGATGCTAACAACAGTGCGAGTTGATAAAATATATAGCTTCTAATACAGATAACGGTTTCATAAGTACTGAAAGCTTCAGCAAGACAACTAATTCCATCTGAAAGTTTTCCAGTAAGAAAAACTTGGAAAAAACATGATCCGGTGGAAAAAATACAGTGATAAAAAAAATCATAATGCATGAAAGGTATCATGGATTCCAAGAGCATCCATTGAATTTTATAGAAAGAAGAACCATACCTGAATCTTGTTGACAGCAGACCTATCACGATACAGAAGCACACGCATGCATTTCTCCAGTAACTTTACACCATCTTCAAAACTCAAGTTCTCGTCCCATTCATCACGGAGAATTGGCCGTGCAAGATGATTCCCAAACCCAGTTGTCACATGATTGTCCTCGAAATGTACACCGATCATACTAACCTGGATAAGTTCACAATTATCAACACAAATAAGCTATACCCTTGAATGCAGAAAAATTATCACTAAGCATCAGAGAACTGATTAACCAAGTATTTACAGTTCCAAGATACTTCTGTCCATTTTTCACTCCACCAAGTACAAGTGAGTTCCACAGCGGGTTGAACTTGTTGCGACGATTGTACATCACCCTAGTCAAGTAGCTGTGCACCTCTTTAGGTCCGAATGAGTTCCCGTCATCCCACATATTGTCATATAAGCTGCAAACATAAAGCACTCAGAACCAAGAGACACTTGGCACTTATAGATAAAACAAAGAAGCACCATCAACCAAATATACTTATTAAAACACAAAATAATGACATGAATAAAGGACATCTCATTCAGTTCAATATCTGCTAACTACAGCTATTCTAAAAGAGCCGATGTTTACATAAGCTCGTCAAGATAACGTAAAATCTCCTGAAAATCACTGATTTCTCCACTTGCACCGAGAAGAGAATGTTTCCCAACAGGCTTCAAACGCTCCACACTCTTGTAACGCAGGGTTGACCCATAGGAGCCTGTAAATTAAGCATGTTATACACAAGCATAATTAAACAACTTCGACATGATTACAGTAATATATGCAACAGCTGACCAGGATGAGATCATGAAGTGGAACATGAAACTTATCTATATCTATAGTTATAAGTGCATATAGTCAAAGCTCTAATGTTTAACACCTCAACAAATCTACTGTATGAACATGTGATCAATAAATCTACAGACCAGATTTGAAATCTTCATGAACTAACCAAGACAACATAAAACCCTTTTCAGACCCATATGAACATGACTCCCCACAAAAACTGAGTACAAACTCAAACGTTCCCTAAACAACACGTTGCATCAACTTTCAAATGCTTCAGAACATAGGTAAGGAGGGCAGCATTGATGCACAAATATGGTGAAAAGTGGGTAAGTATTCCCGCACTATTCTATGCCAGCTCAAATAAAGAAATAATCTGGAAAGCGAATTGAAATATAGGAACACTAATAGGTAAATGAATAAAGTTGATAGACCCTATGCTGAAAGGAGGATTAATATTGCATGACTGCAAGAAATTATGTGGCAATAAGAAGAAGTTAGGAAATAAAAAATACATGATATAAACTCTTACATCAGAAAAGATGAGACATGGAATGGAATAACAACAATAATTGATCACACTTTAAAAGATGAAGTTGTAATTGTTACTAGAAAAAGAGATTATGGTAATATTAATTATACTTATATCATTATGTGAAGAGAAATATAGTTAATATAAATTCTAAAAATAGCAAGTATGCATCCAAGCAAGACTAGACGAACATATTAAAATACAATTTGAGAACAAATGGATCAATTAATTATTTATAGAAGGAAATGCCATCAGTTGTGAAGGAAAAAGTTGTGGACAGTATGAGATGGAATAGGTCAACAAGCATGTCTATATCGACAAGTGATCGGATTTTGAGGGGCCATGTCCCACATATCATCGATGATTACAGAGGCTCTTTAAGTAGGCGTTACCAAGCGTATGACCAGCCTATGTGAGGTTCTAGAAGGGGAGGAGTGAAGATAAACCTAAATTTCAGTATTCTTTTGCACCAAATGGCTGTTCTAAATACTCAAATCTGTTTTCTCACCTTTTATCATTGCACCAAATAATGACCCAAATCCCTCATTAACTACAATAGTAACGTGATTAAAGCAATACCGAGTTCAACAAGAGTACCATCCACCGATGTATAAGGACAACAAGGTAGTTTAACAACCTACCTATGCATGCAAATGTGCACAAAATGCATTGTCTAATGTGATTCTTTAAATGACAGGTAAATAAATTCTCAATATCTAATAAATTTAAAATCTGATGCATTCTTATTCTACTAGTACAAGGTATTAATTGGACACGTGCAAAGTTGTTGCAATTTCCAAAAGGAAATCAATAAAGAAAAAATAGGAAAGGTCAAAAGACTCAAAACAGCTAATTAATTAAAAAGAGTTAACAAGTAAAATTAAATACAAGAAACAGACATTGTTTCATCCTACTTAAAATTTATTTCATCCAAACTCAAACATTTTGAGGATTAAAAAAAGCTTTGATCATTAAGAAACTACAATGAATAGAATTTAAAAACAATGGAAGGCAAAAAGAAAGTAAAATATAATCTCAGTTTCAGATGACTTTGCAACGCAAAGCATTTTGTCAAGAACCCTTCTTAAGATTTTTTTACCAGTTTGATACTCCCAAAAGGCTTTTCCTTTATGTTAGGAAGCAACGTGTATAATACATGTTATGAGCATGCCAAGTTTCACAGAATGAACTTAAGATGTGCATGCAAGAAAGAACCCCCAATGAAAGTTGGGAACTGCCATTACACGGTCACCCAATAAAATAAACCAGTGATGCAGATGCATAATCATCAACATACGGACCATTTAGGTATGAATGCGACTACTTCCGGCTGACATCACTATCATTTTTCTATATCCGAATTTCGCTTGCACACACATGAATTGAGAATAAATATGACGGTATAATATTTAACCATCATGTAGAGAAAAAAGCAGCTAATCTACAAATTAACAAAAAACAATGCAAGGAGAAAAAGAAAAAAGAAAAAGGCAAGAAAAAAAAAAAACACGAAAAACAATAGTTAGAGAAAACACTCACAGTTTACAAAAAACTGAAGTTCTTTATCATATAAAAGCATGTCATGCTAATTATCTCCCCTCCCCCTCACCCCACACTCACCCCAAAAAATAAAAAAGAAAAAAACTTACATTACATAGGAAGCTTATATCACACCGACAAATATACAAGTGATAATGAAATCCAAACAACATGAGGACCTACATCACACACAAACATTTAGAACATTTCTTTGATTCTTTCACAAATACGAAATATAAAAAAAAAAAAAAAAAAAAAATGCAACTTCTTATATTGAGTGAGAAACCAAAAGTACTTTCAATTGACACCATATTCATTTGTTATGACAAAATGGAAATGTTACGGAAAACTCACTGTCCAAGCTAGAGCTATGTTGATACCATACAATAAAAAAATCTTTAAGAACTCAATAAAATTAACAGAAAAACCATGTCAATTCAAGTATAAAAGGTCTAAGCGGCTACCTCCCATATCAGCAGCCATGAGAATACCATCCTTGTATTTGATACCTATCACAGATGTACCGGTCACATAAGGATACCTGCACCCAAATTCATCCAGATTATGATTTCTAACATCCCCAAATGATCAGTAAATCTCACCACCTAGGACATTCTGTGTATATTATGTGGCTATGCATCAAAGGTGTAAATATGCATTTGTGTGAGCCTGTGTTTGTCTATTTATATGAGTGTTTGCACCCAGAAAATCATAACCGAATAGATGCCATGTAAACATCCTATAAGTTGACGCGTGACAAATGGAAATATTTTACATCTTAGCCATCTGGCTAATAGCAAAGAGAATTCAACCTCAAACCCATTTGAGAGTAGCGGATAACCACATGACATGACAAGTGATATGTATTCAAATTGTAGGAACTGACCGATATGCTCATGCTGGTGTTCAGCAAGAGTGAAGAGAAAACAGATTTAACCTCCGGTCAAACCAGCCAAACTATCATTAGGCCTAATGTCCCTTGAGGATGTTGATAGTGTTTAAGAGATATTCCCATACTCCGTGATTTTTGTGATGGAAAAAGATTGATGATAAAACAAAAAAGGACTCGTCTCATCATCCGTCAGTTGCTTATTTAGACCAATAATAGCTACAATTGTAATCAGGTGCAGGTGCAGGTGCAAGTGCAGGCAGATAAAGTAAGGGCCAGGTGATCAATGTGAACCATACGCTTGAAATTTGAGAGAGGGCCATTCCTATCTCCGACAATCGTAAAAGTCTTCATATATGTATGTCATACATATATACATATATGTTATACATAACACACATACACACATATATGTTAGTTGAACACATATCACGCCGCATTTCACATTGACTGAGAGATTTGAAACCAAACAATATGCATATACGTTAAGCATGTATATGAGTATGCGCAGCCCTAGTTCGATGGTTCGGACACTAAACCCACAAGTCTTCATGGTCTCAAAAACCGAAACCCTAAGTTCGACAGTCACAATAGCGCTTAATTTAGTTCAAAAGGTTCGACATTTAAATATATATCTCTAATTCACGTGTGTGCGCGTGTCTTTTTAGAGAGAGAAAGTGTACGTACAGGGTTCTCTCTGATGATGCTGTTTCAGAGCTTAGTAAACTGCTTTTCGCTTGGGTAGAATCGATCACCTACATTGACATAAGATGCAAAATCAGTTAACGTTCTTTGATGAGAGGGAAACATGAAAGGAAAAAAAACAAAACGATTGTGGCCTGAAATTTACGTTCATTGTCAGATTGATCGGCGATTTGGGAATGATTTCAGGAAAAGACGAAACAGTAGCTGCGATCTTCCGCTGTGTGTGTATCTGATATGAACCTGGTTTCCCTTTGGTCAAGAAAGCTGGGATTTGTCAATAGGGCCGAGTTGTCCAAAGCCCAAATTGTTCAGCCTTTAAATGTCCCGTCTGATTTTAATTTTTGGGTTTCATGGAGTCCGTCTGGTTCTTAATCTCGTACGGTGGCTTAGACTTTTGACTGACCTTGGGCTACAGTTTGACTAGGCCCATTTTGAGTAGTAGGTAACACTGTAGGTTAAGTAGTAAGTTTTTTTTTTTTTTTTTTTTTTTGATAAGTAGGTTAAGTAGTAAGTTTACATCATGAAACTTTCCGGGAAAAAGGGTTTGGATGATGAAATGGAAAGGAAATGAAGAATTAGGTTTTGTTTTCTTATTAATTCGTGTGACACATTGTTATATGAATTCAGTCAGAATTTTGGGGAAGAATTTATACTCCTTTTGCCACTCTTAGTTCTGTTTGATAATATATATACATATATATATGAATTTAGGTTTTTGGGTTGGTGGTTGAGAATTTGGTATTTAGGGCCCTAACCCTAAATTTCAACCTTTAAATCATTGTGATGTATGAACTGTTTTAGAATGATAATTATGTATATCTTTTAATTAAATGAAGATAAGTATCATCTCAATTTTCAATTCAAAATTTACAAAAGTGTTAATAATATTACAATGAAATAACACATTTTTCTAGCTAGTCTTTGACATCAAAACACTAAAATTCTTCATTGATAAGATACAACTAAACTTATACTCCGTTCGATATGGGGATGCAAACATAAATGAAAAAGATGGGATAAACTTAATGATACACATTCAAGAAAATGTTGTCATGTGGAATAATGAAATTATAAGTGCCCCATAATAATTAAGAACGCTTTAACAGGTTCGAGGCATCCATGCAAAATATATACATATATATATTATTACAATTTTACTAATATATCTAATACATTGAAGCAAAAATAATGAACCAAGTGCATGTAATAATAGCTATCTACTGTATTTTTTCCTTCAAAAATAATAAAATAAAAAATGTTGAATATAAGCTTGCATAATTTTTTTACCGACCTCACATTTATAATAAAAAGTTTAAGACAATAATGTTCTAGATTATTCCAAATAGTACCACTAGTGTGAAGAAGACCATAAAAGTCAACTAAATCGCTGATAGTGAGCAATTTCCATTTTCACACTAGTAAATCTATCAATAAATCACCATTTTGTCTTTTGGGCTCACCAGTTACCGGCCGTACATTATATGGGACCCATTAATCAGTGCCCCTAGCCCTCGTAATAATATATTAAAAAAAAAAAAAAAACACAGCGCTGGAAATAATATATTTATATATAAAATAATATCGCTCATCCTCGGAGTCTCGTACGTAAGATTCAAGAAAAACTGCAGAATAGCAGAGAATCCAAACCCGGATTTGTTTGCATTAACAAATCGGATTTGATAATAGATGACACGTCCGGAACCTTGTAATGGAGGATATAGCTTCCGGCTGGTTTCGGTCAAAAAAGAAACGTAAACGACGGGATAGAAGAAGACGGCGTCAGGCTACGAGTCACTCAACACCCTTACAGGCTCATCTAATTCATTGATTCCAAACACTCCTAATATCTTAAAACCCCTCCAATCGATTCATGTAAGAACTCATGTCAATTTTCTCCCTATGTATCCTTTAATTAAGTTTTATTTATTTATTTATTGGCCCGTCATGATCGAATTTAGGGTATTTTTACTTCTGTAGTTGAACGATTTTTGAATTGAAATTAAGTTAATTTTGTTCTTTACTCTGATTATTTTGACTAGATCGATCATTTGGAGACGAAACTGGATTGTATTGATGGTTGACTGTTCATTGTTTGGACTATAGAGGACCGGGTAATCTTGAATCCATCTCTTTGGTGTTGAGATGGATTTGGCATCTAGTTGCAAGGTATATATTTTCATTTCATGTGCGAAATTGGGGTGATGCAATAGCATCTGTAGTTTTCAATCATGGAATTTCTGAGATTGTTATTTTTGTATGGAATTCAATTCAGTCTTTCTATCACTAGTATTTTTTTTTTATAAATAAAGTGTTAATTGTATAAGAGCGTTAATTGTAGTATTTGAAAATTACATAAAAGATCAATCCATTGTAGCATTAAGTGTGATTATACTTTTCTGGGTTCATTGAACTTGTACTGCTATGCCCTGCAAAGTTGTAGACTTTTAAGTGGCAACTAGTTTATTTTTAGAATACCCCTTTGTTGTGTTTGTTCATTAGGTACTCCACTAAATTATTTAACGCCATCCAGAAAGCCTGCATCCAATGTACTGGTGTGGCTACAGTCAACTAGTTTAAGTAAACTAGTTCCAGTACACTTAATAGATTTGTAGTGCAAAACCAGTGACATCCAGGTTATGGTTCATACCCACTTGCACAGCAATAAGGTCTGAACGGGCTGGGGTTGATATTGGGGATCATTGCTGGTGAATCTAAAATCCCAGTTGCTTTCTTTTATGCTATGATCATCTTAAACGGTCAATAGTCCTTGTAAACGCAGTCCTCACTCCTTATTGTCCTTCCGTCACTCACATATGTTCTTAATCCTACCGTTGTAACATGTGTTGTACTTCTATTCTTATTTCATCGAAGAAGACATGAAGTTGTCGCATTAAACATTTCAAGGTGGTCGTAATTTATTTGATTTTAGAGCATATTTTTCATTTTAATTTATTTTTAGCGAGTTGGGTATAGAACCAGAAAACCAAGGACAAGGAAGAGGAGGGTATAACCTCCCATAAACAGACATGAATGCAACCCAAAAAAGTTCAGGGACTTTGGCAATAGAAATGAAAAAGCTGCTTAGAGTAATCTATACAAGAGCAGCATAAAGTTTGGGCTTTTTTCAATAAATCTTTCTACAAAGGAATATTCTTTTAATGGAACATAAACCATTTTTCAGTCGAATATCTTGCATAATCCGAGGAAGTATGGTTTGGCAGTCCATATAAGAGTTTTTTTTTTAATCTTGTTGTTCTTCCTCCAAAGGTGATACACTATAGCAGCTAAGGCAACCTTGTTTGAACTTATTCATCCAATTCTTGCTTCTCAGATTGATACTAGCCCACTGCAGAAGTTGAGAAATAGAAGGGATGTTGCATCTGCTATGACTTCAAAAAAATTGGGAGAAATTACGTTTTTTTTTTACAACAATTATGCAGCACTTCAGCTCCACTCCTACAAAAGATACAAGTATCACATTGTATGATCCTAACGTTTTTTATTTTGTTGAGAGTCGGGTGCCTCCCACAGCATCAAGCCACAGAACAAAACAATGCCTTGGATTCCATCTTTGATCTAGACAACAAAATGCCATTGACATTTTTCAAGCTTGTTTATGAGAGACTCATTGGCTCTTTGATACAAAACTATTTTAGCATCGATTCAGATTATCTTATCACAGTCATCAATAGTTGGAGCAAGGAATTGAGCTAGCAGCAGTTTGATAATGAACTATGTTGCGTGTCATTGAATTTGGTTAATTGCAAATGAATTTTATTCATTCAAGATTTGATTACAAATGAAGTTAAGGTACATGTTAACACACTTCATTAATGCTAGATGCCTAGACTAACAAATTATAAGAAGCTGGTGAACATATATGCTTTGACCAAAATTCGTTGCTCTATCTACAAAGGTTTGGTGAAGTGTTTCTGTCAATGTAAATGATTTATAGTCTGACATAGATCTGACATAATGTCCTTGCCTTAATCCCATTTGAGTGGAGTCGGCCACATCAATTTTTTTTTTCCCATTCTTTTTAAAATCATGAACGATTTCATCCCATGATAATTTCTATAAATAGGAGAGGTGCCTATTAGTGATAAGAAAATAGAAAATAAAGTTAGGTGGCATGGACATGTCCAAAGGAGAGACTAATTATTGGTATGGTAGGAAAAATGCTGCAAAAAACATTCAGCCTGTCTTGTGAAACGTCTTTGGTTACCATTTAATAAAAATTGATGATTCAAGATGTGCAAATATTCGCTGCTAGGCGATATGTCTATTTATGTACTTAAATTTGACTCTTGAAAAATGGTTACAAAAATTATTCATTTGATAATCTGGCTCCTCAGCCCGCACAGAACTTCCTGAGAACTCTGATCATCAAAAAGTCTGGGATTCCTGTAACTTTTATCACACTTCTACTAGTATGAAGGACATTGTACCCCAAAAATGTATACAAAAAAATCATATCCAGGGAACAACTTTGGTTGGTAATGTCACCTAACTATTGTTTTCTGCTCAATCAAGCTTGAATTGATTTATGTGACAAGTGATGTTTATCTCATTTTCAACTGGGCACAGTGCCACCTCCTTATTTTTCTGAGTAATTATTCAAGAAGTTACAGCGAAAGCTTATAATATCACCAGTCAAGCTCAATTTTTGGAAAATGATTGGGGAAATTGTTTACTTTTGAATGTTCTTCCATATTTTTTTTGAGCTTTCTGCTTATTTGTTCTTTCTTTTTAGACTTGAAACATGTTTGGAAAGTAGTCTCAGAGCTGGTTTGCTGGTTTGGACCGGTAGACGGCTATGCAGCTGCCTGTTTCATGCAAAATCTATGCAAGCCGAACACGAGGGAGTGTTCAGATTCTATTTTTTTCTTAGCTGGTTGGGGTTTTGGGCTTTTTTTTTTTTTTTTTTTTTTTTGTGTGCGCGCGCTGCTGACCGATGTTTTGCTTGTAGCAGCTCATTTCCTGTTATTTTATCCTCAGTTTGTACTTGCTTGAGTTTTCGCTGTAGTTGTCGGTTGACTTGTACTTAGAGGCGCATGCCCTATTTCTCCTGTAAATATGTTTCCCTTTTAATAAAATCTCAGCATAAAAAAAGAACATGAATTGATGTGGTTTATATTGATTTGAGACTATGCAAGCATTTAATGACCAAGATGGGCTGGACTGACCTTAGACTAACCCTTTTGCAGTCGTCAATTTAGAATTTTCTGTGAACATTGAATGATATACATAGTTTTTTGTTTTTCTATATATAACTTGTGGATTCATTATGGATCAGTTAATTTAATTTAGAAAATTGTTTCCTTCCTTCACCCTTCATTTGAATTTTGGTCATATTATGCTTTCTGAAGCTGTCACCTCATTACTGCCATTTTTTGTGGGTAAATGAAGATCATTATTGCCATTATTCACATTGTGGAAAGTTTTAGTCGGTGTTCTTATGTATAGAAAATATTTGAGGTTGGTGTCATGCACTTTAACTTTGAGGGTTCATGACAATTTTCACTCTCTTGTAGGACAAATTGGCATATTTTCGAATAAAGGAGCTCAAGGATGTCCTTACTCAGCTAGGACTTTCGAAGCAGGGAAAAAAGCAGGTTTGATACTTCTTGTGCAGCTTATGGCTACATTCACTTGTGTGAATATGTAAAGAGCAGTTACAGTCATCTAATGAAATTTTAACTATGCTACTGGATAGTTTGCTACCTTCCATGGTTGGAGATGCTTTAAGTCACATAGTTTTAAGTTTTATAGCACCATGCTGTCTGCTTTAACCCTTTATGGGTTTCTTTAGCACCATAACTGTCTGTCTTTCTGGTGCCCCTTGGAATAACTTTCACTTACATGAAAGTACTTACCAAAAATTAGCAAAATCTAAGCTCATTGTTAAAATCATTTATCATTTCATTACTATTTCTTTATAAGTTCTCTACTTTTAGGTGCTTGAGTTAGATTTCCACGGAAAGAGATTATCTTTTATTTGTCTTATCATTTACTTTGTGTAGGACCTTGTTGATCGGATATTAGCTATTCTCTCTGATGAACGAGGTAAACCACTCTATCCATTTTTTGTCAATCATGATGGATGGGTTCTTGTCCCATAGTCACATTGACATCTGAATTTGCGCATTTCAACTTTGTCGTAGTAACATCTGAATTTCAGATGTAACGACAACAATTCTAAATATTATTTTGTTTTTGTGTAGTTTCTGGGATGTGGGCAAAGAAAAATGCCGTTGGAAAGGAAGAAGTAGCAAAATTAGTTGATGACACCTATAGGTGTGTATTTTTTAATATAAGTACTTGGATGGCACAATTAGTGGAATTTTCTTTTTTTATTCGTTGAAGCTTAATAATGTAGATGCTTTTGACGTGTTATAATTGGATGTTTTATTATAAACTTAGAATGATTTTGTAACCCATGGTGCCATTTACTTGGAAGTACTAAATTTTTATTTTTATTTTTATTTTTTTATTTTTTGTTTTTTTCACCTTTTTAAGCTAAGTTGATTTAAAGATCTTTCATCATTGCCTCCAGAAAAATGCAGGTTTCTGGGGCAACTGAGTTAGCATCAAAAGGACAGGGTGTCTCAGATAGTAGTAATGTGAAGCTCAAAGAGGAAATTGACGATTCTTATCTATTAGATAAGATTCGCTGTCCCTGTGGAAGTTCTTTGCAGACTGATTCAATGATTAAGGTCATACAATCTTTTCCTTAGAGAATGAATCTCTCTCTCCCTTTCTCTCTATATATATCCCTTAGTATTATTATTTTTTGTGTGTATGTATCCTTTCTTTCTCTCTCTCTCTCTCTCTCTCTCCCTCTATATATATCTCTTGTTATTATTTATTTATTTATTTTTGCATATGTGTGCATGTATATATATTTCTTGATAAGATACACTTTATGCATGTATGTTTTGGTTTTGTGGCATGGAAATGGTAGCAGTTAATTCATTTTCAGGAGTGCGTATCTGTTAGTTTAGTCTTCTGTTATTGATTTTGTATGCCTTCTGTTTTTCTTTTATAACTATACCAATGCATGAATTTTTAGTCCATAATCCATATAACATTTTTTTACTCTCTGAGTACATTCGTCAGTGGTCAGTGCAGTTGTTTAACATATTCATTCCTGGGGTCATGCAATGTTTTTGGTTGTCTTTCCTGTATGAGGATATCCACCTAAAGGTCCTAAACATGTTAGTTACTGTTACAAAGTGTTCTCTACTATACCACTCTTTACTGGCACCATGCTTCGCTAGCATCCTTTCCCCTCATAGTCATCTACATTTGGTTCTGTTGTGGGCACCATTATTAATATCAATAGCTTGGGGCAACAAGTGAATAAGACCCCCCTTTGCATAAAAAAGGATTAGTCCAGTGCAAGAGGCTCCAGTCACAGTGTGGTACCTCCCCTTCGCACGCCTTCTAATCCTTGAACCCAACTAATTTGGCTCGCATTTGAATGCTTGTTTAAAATTTAATCTTGTTAGTTTGTTACAGCCATATCTGATGCCATTATGTCTTTAATTTTGCCTCAACCCATGTTCATTTTATAATTCCTCTGGCTCTTGTATGCCCTCAACTTGAATGACATATATCGGGCCCTTCATGTGCGTAGAACAGCTTTATGGTAATTATTATTAGCAATTCTTCCCTTGTGAAGCTTGTACCATCTACACTCATACAATCCAGTTATATACGTCTTATCTGTATAAGTAGTGTGGCCACCAATATGATTGGAAATTTATTAAAAAGTAAATGGTTGCTCAATGCACAAGTTTGAGGATCGGAAACCAAGTTTGAGCTGCAATGTTTACTTTGGATGGACATTATTAAAATTGTGAAATAGCGTTTGTTTGAGCTTCTCTGCTGCTCTTTGTTATTTATCTTTGAGCAAAGTTTGTAGTAGTGACTCGCATGATTTCCTCTTTGGCAGAAATATTATATTATTTATATAATGGACTTCTTAAAGTTGATGGTCAATGGGTTAATTCAAGGAATGGTCTCTCAAAATGGTATAAAATTTCTGTATAGGTGTTTTTTTTGCAATAGAGTATACTACTGACATTACATTATGTAATGGCTATTGCATAATGGTCTTGGAGCTTATGAGCTGGTTACAAAACTGATGCAGCTGTGAGCTGAAGATTCACGGCTTTAATGGCTGCGAGTAATGGAATACAGTTATGGCCACTGGCCAGAAAGGATAAAAATGAGGTCTGACCAAACTAAACCTCATTTATCCCTTATTCAGTTTTTCTTCAGTTTGTCTTTTAAGGCTCCCAAACTAATATTAGAGGTTGGATCTATTGATTTGGAGGTCAGGATAGTAAGATCTATGTTTATTTTACAAATATAAGCTATTTGGTCCACTAAGTTTATCATAGGAAATTTTTGTGATAATCTTTTTGGCAGCGATTTTTCATGTCTTATGAATGTATGTACATATAACTTCGTTCAATAAAATAATTAGCATCATCTAGAACCTGCATAGCATTCTTTTTGGCTGTGAAGTGACTGAAGTCACAAATTAATTAAGTATATTTTGCTTTTTCTTTTTTTATTATTGTAGTTGCAGTTTTAGGTATTACTAGTATTAGATGGTATAACATTCCTCACAATAGATGGTATTTTATTTTTATTTTGTATTGCCTGATTTCAGATACTAATAACTTAAAAAAAAAAAAAAAGAAAAAGAAAAGAAGGCAAACTATGTGTTCATTTAATTTTTGTATAGCCTGATTTCAGATACTAATAACAATTAGGCTCTGCATGTATTATTTCTGAAATTTGTTCTTATTAGATGTTATTGCTAGTAAAAGCATATATTTTGTAGAATTTTCTTCTTAAATGTCATGGTATAGAATATTAGAAATAAATTAGTTCCTTTTGTAGTCTAAGATCTGGTGCATACTTTTAATAGGAGTCTCAAAGGATAGTAACTGGAACTTTGTCCTTGAACTTCGGTTCATGCTCAGTTAATTTTGTGTTTGATTTTGTAGTGCTTCGTTGCAATATCGTATTTAAAAATTGGAACTGTAGGTTTCTGTTGTTTCTTATATTCTGATTTGTGCCTGTTAGCTAGTGGCCAACTGTTACACATGGACAGTATTCCATGCCTTAGCCTTAGTTTGGCTAGCTTGGTATCTCGGTGTTATTTTTGTATATATGCTTAAGTGTGTGATGGAGGCATACTATCTCGGTGGGGTTCGTGAGATTCATATAGCAGGAGGAAGAAGTCATGAGAAGACCATTGCAAAAGACGGATTGTAATTTGGTTATGCTACAAGCTAGACTGATCATGACTCTTTGGACATGGGTGATGTCTCTTCCTACCAGACTTGTGAATCCTCATTTTGCATATATAGGGGTTGGGTGGTTCCTTCCCCCTGGCCCCTAGGGTGAGGTGGGTGGCTGTTCCCAGTTGTGTGTTTGCCGTGGTTACTCATAGCACGTTCATGGCTCAGGTATGAGTCTTGACGTGCCTTGCAATTCACTTTTGCATGATGGCCCTATTGGTAGCAGCTAGCTGGGAGTTGGTGGCAGGTCTCACCATCACTCACAGGCAACATGTAGAAGCGCCCTTTGCAAGCTAGGCATTGTGAGGGCGGAACACTTGGCAGTGATAGATTGAATGAGACTATTGTTCAAAAAGAAGACTCAACAATTGCTGAGGATGACGGTGCATGATGGGCATATGCAGTGGAATGGCTGCGAGAGCAACAACAAATATGGGTTTTTAAAGTTGTGTTCAGCAATGTATTGTTGTTCATTGGTGGCAAACGGACTCATGGTTTATGCATACTCAGTTGGACAAGCAATGATAAGACAATTGAAACGATAGCTTGAGTGTATTGGCTGAAAGTTCCATGGAGTTGAAGTGCTGCAGGAATCTTTAACACGTCTCATGGCAGTTGGCCAATTGCCATGGCCTAGGAGGCAACACTGGAGTATTGTTTGGTCGAGGCTCTGACAATCAAGTCATTGGCTGGGCATGCATTGACTAAGTAGAGTTGGATGAGGGGCTCAAGAATTCTATACGTGCATGGATGTACGGAGTGTCTATATGGGATTGGTCCCTTCCCAAAAGATTGGGCGTATCAGGAGGATCTGTTATTTTCAATTGTTTTCTGGTAATGAGATACTTGGTTTGCTTGTGGGCAGACAAAGGCAACTGGCTGCCTATGTGGCTATCCAAGACATCCGGTAAACTTAGCAATTAGAGTAGTCAACTACAAGTTTATTGGTGTCAAGCAGTTGGAGTATAGATTGCTAGGCCATGTGGCCAATGCTGGATTAATGACAGGCAGGGCGATTGGGGGTGTCAAGTGCAATACATGCAAAAGGCATGTGTACCAACAATTTTATAGTCTTACTGAATGGGTGAATCTGATCAGACACGGAATGAATTATTCTTTACTGCCCTGAGAAGGGTGTTGTCCATGTTAGAGGTGAGTTGTAAACTTGTAGTAAAGGTTGTAAAGGTTTTTTCATAATATATATATGGGCAATGCATATGGATGGTGTCCATTGAGAACTTTGAACTCTCTTTCTCTGTAAACACAGCCTCACTGATCCTCTCTTTGGACCTCTCTCTCTCTCACCATCTTACTGTCTGAAACACACACTTTATATATATGTGATGGCCCATTCTCATTTTCCTGGAGATTGTAACTTGGTATGTTCTAATTTTAAAAGCACAACCCTCTTTACCCCTGTTTCTTCTGGGAAATATTCCTTTACCTAGTCTCTCTCACTGGAAACACACCTCCTCTTTCTTTCTTCTCCACCATATAGGTCACACCATCATTGCCGACAAATGCTGACATGGTTATTGCCTCCAACACCCATGATCGACTTTGATAAGGTACAGTCTGTGTATAAAAATAGAAGGAATCAACCAATCAAAATGCCAGGGACATGAAATGAAGTGGGCTGATATCCAGATATTCTTCTCATAAAACTATTTTACTTGTCTGATCTCTTTTTCTTGGAGAGTATTTTCAGAAACCTAATACCTAAAAATGAAAGTAAAAGTTTACATGAAAACATTTTGCATTTACACGTTTACTTAATGAAATTACAATGCGGAATCTTCTTCCTGTAAAAGTAAGTGTGTATTTTTTAATAAATACAACAAATGTTCGTACCTCCTTGTCGGGTGGTGAGAGATACACCCAACCTAGACACTGGTGGTCTTCTGAAGTTGGTATAATTAAAAAGGGTGGCCCTTTAATTGCTATCTGCAATGTATATCAATGCTAGGGTGCTGTATGGTAAGCATCTACTCAGCTATCTTGTCATTGGAGTGGAATGGCTTTTGAGGTTTACATCATTGCCTCATTGTAGTAACTAATATGTTATCAGTTCTTGTGGTCTATGTAAAATTACATCAGAATTATTGCACAAGAGAATGCACATAAACCGTTGTATCCTTCTTTCACTTTTCGGTGGGATACTAGAACATCCTAGTTACCAATGTTGCTGCAGTGGATCTTAATGTATAGTACCTTCTCCATATGTTTCCATCGTATGTGTACATGATGTAGAACAGCTCGCTCACGATTATCTGAGCATACAGGATCATCGCAAATCAAGGAGGCTTAAAAGGTAAGGAGAATAGAAGAAAATAAATAAATAAGGAAAAGTCAAAAGGAGATTTGGTGTAGTTGCCAGCAATAGAAGATATTATTCT